CCCGTCCTCTTTTTTGCTTGCTGAAATATGGTAACCCTAAGTTAGATCCTGGGCGTTGGATCCCCGGCTGGCAGGAGTTTCACATCTATCTCTCGCAGCACCATACCCAGCCTGGAGAATGAAGAACCAGGGGCTGGTCCCTTCCTCTCACCCTCTGCTCCCTGTGCTCTGCCCCACTCCAGCCTGCGCTGCCCCTGCCTGGGGACCTGTCCCTGTCCCTCAGTCCCAGCAGAGCCCTGGGGCCAGGGCCGGCTCCATTTTTTTTGCTGCCCCAAGCGGCGAAGAAGGAAAAAAAAAAAAGAAAGAAAAACCTGATTGAGCTGCTCCCAGCCCCTCGAAGAGGAAGAGAGGGAGAGAAGGACCTGCCGCCGAATTGCCGCCACAGACTTGGACGTGCCGCCCCAACAACGGACGGAGTGCTGCCCCTTTCTATGGGCCACCCCAGGCACCTGCTTCCTTCGCTGGTGCCTGGAGCTGGCCCTGCCTGGGGCAACCCCTCCCGTGTTAACCCTTTCCCTGCCAAGACCAGCCCCACATTCCGTCTCACTGACTCTGCTGCCTTCGGGGATCTTTGGGAGCCTCTCAGTGGTGCAAGTAGAAATCATTTCTTGTCGGTACTGCACTCATGGGAGGGACACAAGGGGGGACACATGATCTCCCCACATGACCCTCCATGTGACTCCTCCCCACCCCGCCCCCTGCCCAAGGTCCCCACACTCTCCCCATCCCCTCTGACACCCCCCTTTGTATATACAAACATCAACATGCTTAACTACTCACTCCCCCCCGCCACATATGTAGTATGCAGTCTGTTTATATGGAATATGGGAGTGAGGTGAGGAGCCATTTCAGCATATGTATGATTTAATAAAAGACAAATTTTAAGTAGAACTGTGTCCTAAACTGCTTTATGGTATTGTACCCAAACATCGCATTTCAATTGGGGATTCAACTTTCTTTATAGGAACAGACTACTGAAACTCTTACCAGTTCACAAAAGTGGTCCATAGTCATGCAAATAGTCCCATTGTCTTCAATGGGATTGATCAAATGATTAAGGGTTTACAGGATTAGGTTCCAAGTTTGTAAATTGTTTTGGATGAAACTGACAATGCCTGAGCTGTCAGATCAGAAGGAGCTTCATTCACATAAAGGTGGGCAGATGTGTGATAAGTCTTGAGCAGGGCCCCCAGCCCTGAATATTCCTGGAGCCCGGGCACCACGAAAGAATATAACTCGCCGCCAATATAACCCCACCCAGCCCTGGGCAACAGTAGCGCCACCCCCAGGCAGCGACTGCCCATTGGCACCAGTCATCACCATCACCCAGTGACAGCCCATTATGTAATTGTAAATGTATACATACTAATTAAAGCTTTTAATGTTTTTAAATAATGTATTTCATAATTAATTTTTGAATGTATTTCACTGGTTATTTTTTACATTTCTAAATACATGTTACTATAGTATTGCAACTTTTTTTTATGGAAGGGGCCCCTGAAATCGCTTTGCCCCAGGCCCCTGGAATCCTCTGGGCAGCCCTGTTTAAGAAAGGGATATCTGGTCACCCTACCCAGGTCCCAGCTGAGTGGTCTAACCACTGCTAGAAAAGTTACAAGGTGAACATCACCTTTGCATCCTCCTTTTCCACCGGTCACTGTGTGGAGTGAGGAGGCTCTGAACTCATTCTCACAAGGAACAGCTGAGGCACCGGAGCCACCGGGTTCCTGCCTCTTTATCACAAATGACCCTTGCAGAAGCTCTGACTTTCCAATGTGCCAGGGGGTGATCAACCTCCTGACTCTACCCCAGACCCCACCCCTTCTCCACCCCTTCCCCCAAGGCTGTACCTGACCTGCCTCTTCCTGCCCCCACTCCACCCCTTGCCCCATCTCTTCCCACCCCATTCCACCCCCTACACTGAGTTCACTGCATCCTCGCTCCTCCTCCAGCCCCAGAGCACCCACGGAGTCAGCACCTATGGCCCCCTGCATGGTGCGCTGGCTGTTGTGGATCCATTCTTAGGTGCCTTCCTCTCCCGGTTCATTGCATAGCAAGCCTGAGCATCACAACGCCTCAGGCCCTTGGTGGGACCAGGTCTGGGTTCTTTAGCCCAGAATGTCACCACCTTCTCAGGTTGATGGCTCTTCTCCAAAATCAGAAAGGTTTGCACCTCCCCCTTATCTGTACTACACAAAGAGAAGTGTTAAGTGACACACCTTTGCAGCATGCTGGTGTGTGCATTGGGCTGGGAGAGGCTGGCAGAGATGACTTGGCCATGGAGGGTCAGGGTGTGCGGGGAGGGGGGAATTTTCTTTGCTGCAGATTGTAACATTACAACACCTCCCAGCACCCCAAGTGCACTCCCTGACCCCCTGCCAGTCACGCTGCAGCGGCTGAGCAGCCCAGCTTTAGCCCGAGCAGGAGACGAGGGTGTTTTAAAATGCAGGAATCCCGGCTCAGCCCCTGCTGGGGACCCAGCTAAAAAGAATCCCCTCACCCCCAAACCAGCCAGAACCACCCCCAGCTGCTTCTGCCTTGGCCCCTGCTCAGCACAGCTGCCGTGGGCCTGCAGCGCGCAGCAGCTTGGGGGCTCCGGGACACGCCAGCTCGCCTCTCTCTGGCACACGCCTGGCACTCGGTTTGGCGGGGCAGATCTGGGGCCGGGTGGGGTTTCCACCCAAGGAGAGCAGTTCAGTGACCAGCTCTGCAGCGGTGAGGCAGGGGAACAGCGAGGAGAGAGGCGGGGGGCGGGGAGACGGGTTGACAGGGGCAGGGGGCAGGGCTACACTGTTCCCACTCCGGGCTGATCTCGGGGCTGGGCACGGGGGTGTTCGGGGAGGGAGCTGCAGGCTCCAGAGAGAGACTCTGGTTATTGCTATGGGTGGGGAGCTCCGGGGCTGAAGTTCCTGCTCAGAGGCTGTTGCTGCTGGTTCCATTGTGACCTGGGAGCCCGGGCTAAGCCGCTACTGCTCCCCAGTGGGGTTTGTGACCTGCATTAACTCCCCTCTGTGCCCAGCCCGGGGGAACTTTCTGCGGTGCCTGGAACCAGCCCCTGGGGCAGCCCCGGGCTCTGCCGACACCAGCCCCTGAGCCGGAGCCTGCAGGTGAGGGGAGAGACCCGGGGGAAGGGCTGGGGCCTGTAGTGTGAAAAACGTGATTTGCTAGCAGTAGCAATTACTGATATGTGAGGCTATTTGCAGAAACTAGTCCTGGTTTGGTACCGCTCCCCCTTCCTATCTTCTGGTCCAGGGGTAGCAAATTGTAACTAACGGGGTTACCTCTGTCAGAAGTTGCCACCACTCAGGTTGTAGAACTCTATGGGTTGCCTTTGGCCATCACTGGCTACACTAGCGTTCTTTTCTATGCAACAGAGGGTGTCTGATGAAAAAACTTGACAGTGGTGTGGGATGGAAGCATAAAGCCTTCAGCTTCCAAACAGCCCTGCCTGGTGTACAAATGTATCAATTATCTCTTAATAGAGTGAGGTCATTTACACATAATTTATTATGCAGCTTATACATATTTTTGATGAGTATTTGTTATTAAAATATAAATTAAATAGCACAATGACATGCATCTTCACAATGATAACAAAGGTAAAATGATGAAGGGCTACAAGTAATGAAAATAACATTTTAAAAGTAATCAATTTAAAGGAGCCAAAGTATATTTAAAATGGATTACAAGGAAGGGAGCTCAATTCAGGGAATCCCAGCAACAGACAAGAAAAATCTGTGAACTGCTCAGAGACTTTATGCAGCCATATAAACTGATAAGGGATTCTTTGTTTCTGAGGGGTGTATATGTAAAATGTTTCACTGAATCAAGTCTCATGTAACGCCTCAGTAGGTTACATCAGCTAGCAAGGAGCTGAGGTGACTAGGCATTGGGACGCTTGTGTCTTTAAGAACCCAGCGCTGGGAAGCCCCATGCTGAGATGCACTGTCCTGGGGGGCGGGGGTCAAAAAGCTTCTCTGTGGGTCCCCATTCTATTTTTTGCAAATACTGGTGTTTCAATCCACCTGGGTAACTTTTGCTCCCTGCCTCTGCTGGAGTTTTGTCCTCAGTCACTCTCTGGCAGTGCCTTACCCCTGGGCTTAACTCCAGCTCCTCCCCCCAATTCCTGATTTTGCCCCTCAGCCCCTATCCCAACCCTGCCTCCAGCTGCTTGAGCCCCCCCCCCCCCCCGGCCAGTGAATTTCTGCCCTCTGCCCAGATCCTGGCCCCCTCTCCTCTGATTTCCTCCTTTTAACCCCTGTAAAAAGCAGTCCACAGAATTTGATGCCAAGTAAGGGCATGGTGAAGGGGCAGTGACTTCAGCAGATGTTACTGAGCATGTTCAGTACACCCTAAATAGCAAATTAAGTCAGATAGCAGTTTTTCACATAACACCTGGCAGGAAAGTGATGCTGCAGAAACAGCCCCTCCTCGCCCCATCTCAGCTCCTGGGGGTCTTCATCAGGGCTGGCTCCAGCATTTCTGCCGCCCCAAGCAAAAAAAAAAAAGAAAGCCGCGATCGCAATTGCGACGGGCGGCAGCAATTGAGGGGGAAAAAAAAAAAGCTGCGATCATCGGCGGCGGCGGCAGTTCGGCGGCAGGTCTTTTGCTCCTAGAAGGAGTGAGGGACCTGCCGCCCCCGAATTGCCGCACGTGCCGCCCCTCTCCCTTGGCCGCCCCAAGCACCTGCTTGTTAAGCTGGTGCCTGGAGCTGGCCCTGGTCTTCAAGTTACAGCACTGCTGCCCTCCCTGACAGCCCCCCCCCCAGGCTTTGCTCCTCTGAGTGCCAGCTCTGGGAAAGCGAACACCCTGGGGCTGGGCCAGGGACCAAGTTTCCCAGCCCAAGGGGAGGGGAGAGGGAGCAGGAGGGAGCAGGAGGGAGACGGGGAGAAACTGGAAGGGAAGTAGGAACAAAAAGTGGGGAGGGAAGTTCCCAACTCCCAGCCCTGCCCAGCTCCATTCACTGCAGCACCCCGGGGCAGATTGACTTTTCTGGGGAGAAGGTGAGGAGTAGGAAAAGGAAGAGCCAGTTCCTGCCTTTGCCTGGTCCCACACTGCTGTGGGGGATGTGCTGCCCTGGGGACAGTGTCAGAGGAGATTCCCCAATGTGGCTCCTTTTATCCTGCTCTTTCATAACCGCTGGAGCACACAGTGATGATTAGTGTTGGGTGCAAAATTTTAGTCTAAAGGACCCTTTTCAGATGCTTATAATACGCACATAAGAATGGTCAGACTGGGTCAGACCAATGGTCCATCTAGACCAGTATCCGGTCTTCCAACCGTGGCCAATGCTAAGTGCCCCAGAGGGAATGAACACAATAGGCAATCATCAAGTGATCCATCCTGTTGCCAATTCTCAGCTTCTGGCAAACAAAGGCTAGGTACGCCATCCCTGCCCATCCAGGCTAATAAGCCATTGATGGATCTATCCTTCATGAACATATCTAGTTCTTTTTTGAACCCTGTTATAGCCTTGGCCTTCACAACATCCTCTGGCAAAGACTTCCACAGGTTGGTTGACTGTGTGTTGTGTGAAGAAATACTTCCTTTTGTTTATTTTAAACCTGCTACCTATTAATTTCATTTGCTGACCTTAGTTGTTCTGATATGAGAAGGAGTAAATAAAGCTTTCGTATTTACTTCCCCCCACCCCCCACCAGTCATGATGGATTATCATATCCCTCCTTAGCTGTCTCTTTTCCAAGCTGAAAAATCCCAGTCTTATTAATCTCTCGTCACATGGAAGCTGGTGGTTACACCTAATCATTTTTGTTGCCCTTTCTGTACCTTTTCCAATTCCAATATATATCATTTTTGTGACGGGGTGACCATATCTGTACACACTATTCAATATGTGTGCAATATGATATTTTCTGTCTTATTATCTATCCCTTTCCTAAGGATTCCCAACATTCTGTTCGCTTTTTTGACTGCTGCTGCTCATTGAGTGGATGTTTTCAGGGAACTATCCATGATTACTCCAAGATCTCTTTCTTGAGTGGTAAAAGCTAATTTAGACCCCATCATTTTTTACTACATGCATTTTGGGACTCATGCACTCTGGCAATTCCTATGTTCATCTTTAGGGATGAAATTCTCTGTCCAGGGGTGAATATTTTAGAAAGTTGGAGGAAAATACACATAGTCTGCTTTTGAGAAGCGGTCAGAGAAAAGAGATGCACTTACTAGAGGTCAGTGGTCGGGGAAGGGGGCAGAAATATTTTTCTAATTAAGAAAAAAATCTCTTTTCTAGCAATTTTAATGCCTTTTGGCTATAGATTTGACAGAATTCCTAAACTAGACAGGCTGCTCTCTGTCTGGTGACTATCTGTCAAAATATGTGTCCATGAAGACTGAGCTGTTTGTATTGAATAAAATGTGGTTACTCATTTAAGATCCAATCCCAAAGATGGTTACGTACATTCTTGTCTTTGAGAATCTGATCATTCCCATTGACTTCATTTAATAACTGTTACTGTGAGGGTTTAAAATGGTGTCAGTGTTTTTAGCCCATGTAGGAGCTGCTGGGTCTCTGCTGTAATTAGGTGACTATGGCCAGGATCTTAGATGCTGGAGCAGAAAGTTCATTTTCTCAGCCCATACACAAGCAGCTGAGTAAAAGGACTGATCATCAGCAGTGCTGGGCTGTCAGAACTGAACCCCAATGTGGCAGGCTCAGCACTTACAAAAATCAGGCCACTTACTGAGAGAACTGGATGTGGATTTAAGAGCTGAAATGTTGGTTGCTTTTTCAAAAATCTTGACTCAACCATTTCCCTAGTACAGCAGAGTCTACATTTGTCTGCAGAGAAAGAATCTGGGATGGATAGAGGATTTAAATGGATTAAAGCCCTTTCTGAAACCTCTCCAGACTGCAGAATCACATCCAAGATTCACTCGAGATCGTCCCATCCTCCCAGGTGACGGGGAAGGAAAATGGTTGCAGTGGAGCTGGTGACCTTCGAGGAGGTGACTGTGTATTTCACCGAGGAAGAATGGGCCCTGCTGGATGCGGGTCAGAGAGCTCTGTACAGGGACGTCATGCAGGAGAACTATGAAACCGTGACCTTGCTGGGTAAGGATTCCTGTCCCCTCGGGTATTAGAAGCTGGGGGCAGAGGCAGGTTTCTGAAGCATCTGGGTCAGATTCTGTACAGGGATAGTCCCTGATCCCCTGTATTTCAGAGGGACCAGGCCATGTAATCTGCAGCTCCTGTGTATGAGAGACAGTCCCCCAGTGCATCACATCCCACAGGACAGGAGATTCAGGGACGTAATGATGGTGTGGGTCTCCCCCTAATCAAAGCACTCAAGTGGGAGAAATTCACTCTTTCCCAGGACTACTTCCATCCTATGAGGCCTCTGACCCCTCTGTCTTTCAGGGACATGTGTCTCCTGGTTTGGGTCTGCCTGAGTCCCCAATGGTCAGATTCTCCAATGTGCTTTACCTCCATCTTGCCCAAGTTCTGCCTCAGTCAGCTGAGTTAGCTGGAGGCCCCCCGATGTTCTCAACTCTCCCATCAGTCGGGCAGAGAAGAGACCAGTGTCATAGAATTTCAGGGTTGGAAGGGACCTTAGGAGGTCATCTAGTCCAACCCCCTGCTCAAAACAGGACCAATACCAGATAGATTTTTGCCCCAGATCCCTAGTAAGCCTCCATTCCCCAAGCATAATCTTCTGTAACTATATTGGTCTGTTACAGTATCCTTATTAGCAAGCAAAGTGGGTACACCAATCAAAGAAAATCTTTTAAGCCCCAGTCGTTGGCACTGCTAGGCACTAGGGAGATCAGATGTCTAACGGAGCAGGGTTTAACTACCTCGACACCCTCTGTCTCCTTTAGGTGCTCAGGTGTTCAGAGAAGTCCTCTTTCTTAGGTCAGGAGTCGTCTTTTTCTCTCTTCTCCCCCTCCTCTTCGAATGAGGCCTTTCTTTTCTAGCCCTTATATCTTTCTTTCACAGAAGTGTCACATGTCCCCCAATTATGTCTAAGTGGCATTCTATAACTGATTTTCCTATGATAGTTTTGTGAGGGACAACTGAAAACAGGCCACTGTCTGAGGTTGACACCACTGGTAATTATTAACTTCTCACTGGGACACATCCATGTTTCAGGGCAACATACACCTAAGTGATGTCATTCTCTGTGTACTCTCTCTTTATGTACTTTACATGATTTGACCAAAGGCCACCACCAGTTTACCCCAAGACCCCAGTGATAGTCACAATTCAGCAATTTTCTGAGCCTGATGCTAACAGAACTCTGCTCCCAGAATCCTCTAGCAGATACCAGTTCAGGTTACCAGTTTTATGTCAGCACTACCTCAACAGTCCCCGACTTGATAACCAATTATTAAAAATCATTGTGATATTGCACCAATTAATTACTTACATTGGGCAGGGCCGGCTCCAGGGTTTTGGCCGCCCCAAGCAGCCAAAACAAAACAAAACAAACAACCGCGATCTGTGGCGGCAATTCAGCGGGAGGTCCTTCGCTCCCAGGCGGAGTGAGGGACCGTCCGCCGAATACCTGGACGTGCCGCCCCTCTCCGGAGCGGCCGCCTCAAGCAGGTGCTTGAGAAGCTGGTGCTTGGAGCCGGCCCTGACATTGGGGGTATGTGCTTTCTCTCTGCTACGTCCTCATAGCTTGCACTTTTATTTGTTATTAGGTTAATTTTAAAAGGTCTTTGCCACCTTCACCTGTATCATTGGCACATCAATTTTAAAATACAAAAGCATACTGATAATACTTTGATTCCTTCTAGAATTCAAATTAAAATTGTCCATTTATTATTATTCCATTTAGGAACCTAAACTATAATATTATACCGCATAAAATCTCATTTATGTGTATTTTTTACATTTGCCTTAATGATTTTATACTTATGGGCAAGTGCTTCTTTTACATTTATTACAAGGTCTGCATTTTGTTTTATTTTATTTAGTGTATTTTCCTATGTTTGAAGTTCCATGTTTTATTCAGTACCATTTCACCCTGTTTTTTTTCCAAACTAGGGGGTGTCATTTTAAGGTGAGTTATATACGTTTTTTGCAGTCTGGGGTGCAATTGGTACTTCTCCAGTTGCCAGGTTTTATTTTTTGTTATACACCTCTACCCTGATATAATGCTGTCCTTGGGAGCCAAAAAATCTTACTGCGTTATAGGTGAAACTGTTATATTGAACTTGCTTTGATCCCCCGGAGTGCGCGACCCCCCCCCCCCCCCCCCCCCCCCC